TTTTTTTCTTTGTTTGTTTGTTTTCTTTGTTTTGTTTGTTTTGTTTGTTTGTTGCTCTGTTAGTTTTTTTATAAGCCTGAACTAAACCCTAAACCCTAACATAGCTAAACCCTAAACCCTAAACCCTAGCATAATTAAACCCTAAACCCTAAACCCTACTCCCTATTCGCGGTGATCCCCCAACCCTCCCCCCCCCAAACCCTAAACCCCAACCCCAAACCCTAAACCCTAAACCCTAAACCCTTTTTTGTGTTTTAAGGCCCCCGAGAGTGAGAGAAAGATGCGGGCTCTCCTCAATGCTGTCCGTCTGGCGGAGTCGCAGCTAATAACAAACGAGCGAGCAGTTGATGAGCTAAAAATTTCGTCAGAAACCCTAAACCCTAAACCCTAAACCCTAAACCCTGATAGCGAATGATAGAGCTGTCAAGGGTACTACCCTACACCACGTTATAAACCCTAAACCCTAAACCCTAAACCCTCGAGAGAGAAAGAGAGAGAGAAGGTTCAGAGCCATGAAAGGAATACCAGTCTCTACCACCACACTCAAACGAGGGTTTAGGGTTTAGGGTTTAGGGTTTAGGGTTTAGGGTTTAGGGTTTGTGGTTTCAGGTTCGAGACGTTTGTTTCTGTTTTTGCGAAATTTGTTGGCGAGGGGGACCCCGAGGACTGGGCCCCAGACCACTGGCCTTCAGTGGAGATAGCAGTGTAGGGTTTAGGGTTTAGGGTTTAGGGTTTAGGGTTTAGGGTTTAGGGTTTGTGTTATTGTTGTTTTTTTATGAGTTGGCGTATGTGTTGAGGGTTTAGGGTTTAGGGTTTAAACCCTAACCCCTCTAAACCCTAAACCCTCAAGGGTTTAGTGTTTCTGGTTTTCGGGCATAAACATCCCAGTCTAGATTCTAGGGTTTAGGGTTTAGGGTTTAGGGTTTAGGGTTTAGGGTTTAGGGTTTGTGGGTGCAGAGAGAAAGAACCACCGTATGGCCTCAGTGTAGCAGAGATGCTCGTTAGGGATTCGCTTTTGGGGTTTTCTTTTACACAGACAGGTCAGTGTATTTATTTATTTTTTTTTTTTTTTTTTTTTTTTTTTTTTTTTTTTTTTTTTTTTTTTTTTTTTTTTTTT